GGGGGTTTTCTCAAAACATTAATTATCTGTCAAATTCTTCCTTAACCAGGAAAATATTACACAACTATGTGTTACCGCTGAGTATTAAAGTGAAAAGGGTACCAATAAGTAAAGAATCCAAGTGGCAGCAGCTGCATGATTGTGGTAAAAACAATAATGATTGTAATAATGCTGATCTAGATATCTGCTCAATGAATTGTAAATTGTGTAGATAACATATTTATTTTATTTTCAGGGTTACAGGGGACAAAGCAGCTCATCGAAGCAATTTTTTGCACATTCTATGTAAAATTCCATTAAATTAACTGTAACACAAGTGTCTTGTTGTGAATCAAAAGCTGAAAATGCAGTCTCAAGAAATTTTTATGTTCTTCTATGTGGTCATTATGAGGATACACTTTCTAAGAATAACAAACAAAATTGTCAACTGATTTTCTCTTATTGAGTAAACTCTGTGATATAAACAAACAAAATCATAACAAAATACATGTAATGATGTAAAACAATATTGACTACATCATTTAACAATACTGGCTTGGTTCAACGTCAAACCTAAAGAAAAACCCATGTAATTATGTAAAACAAAATTGACTCGATCATTAAACAATACTGACTTATTATTTCATTAATAAAGGAAAATTAGATTTAACAATAGCTTTATTTATATAAAAAAGTAATCTTAATGAGAATAAGTTAGGAAAAAAAGAATAAATAACAGCACAGCAGTAAAGCATTTATTTTTATGTGCTAGCCATGTTTAAAAACTATTATTCTTTATTTTTTACCACTGAGGAGGCTGCATTCTGGGCTGGACTACATTGAATATTTTTTCTCTTTCCCTTAGGCATTAGAATCTGAAACAATAAAACAAGTAAACAAATGAGCTTGTCATGTCATGATGTGAGTAATGACAAAGAACAATTACCAAAAGTCCGGGGTTGATTACAAAAATGTAGAGAAACCTGCTAGAGTGATAAATCTATCACATGTGATGTGTGTGATAATAAGTAACAAACATTTGAAGATAAAAGGAGATACCTCAAGAAATGAAGAAGTAATAATAATCATAATAATAATAAAAGTTCAATGGGGAAATAATTCTGTAAAACAAATTTGTGCTAAAGTAATAAATTTTGTCACACATCCTGTGGGTGATGAAAAACCATGTATTTGAAGTTTAAGGTGGATAACTTAAAAATAAAGAAGTTACTGTACAGTTAAAAATAATATTTTAGAATCTAGAACAATAATATTTCAATGTTGCAGCAGTTTAGACTACATAAAACACCATATTATAGCATGGACTGCATAATTCACCTGCAATAATAACATAAATAAATTAAATTTTATATTTCTTTGTATACAAACCAAAATTTGCTTTAAAAAAATAGTTTCTAAAACCTGTTTAATTACTTTGAGGCGGTCCCTTCCTGGAAAATTGCATGACCCGCTATTGGACAACGTGATGCAATTTAATTGACCAGCGCTATCACTATAAATCCTCATGCATTTTTTAAACGGCTGCTGCTGCATATAGTTAACATATTGGGCATCAAATACCTACCAGGTTTGATCTAATATCTTTTGGGGTTTTTCAGCAATAAAGCAGCGACTGCAACTTTGTGTTGTTACTGGCGCAATATTTCGCGACAAACGGAAACGCTTGGTAAAGCATCTGAATGAATCTGATTAGAATTATCCGGATGTTTACATTTTTTTTTCGCTGTCGAGGAGCTAACATCTTAATGCACATGGCTGTTAGGTTATAACACTTTTAAGTTCAAAACATTTAGTAAAATAATTTATTACATAAGTGACTGACCCGTTATTGGCTATGATCCGCTATTGGCTAACTCACTGTATGTCCGATGGGCAGCGTACTCCACTTTCCTTGTGCGGGAAAGTAAAATTCAAATTCCTCAATTTAGAGAACATTAAATTCAGCTATTTAGCTGAATCAAATTTCAGTGTCATAGATCTACTTGAAGTTATTGACGAACATTGTTTTCCAGTTTTAACAGTCTTTATTTTTGAAATGTGACAAATAAAATATTATTTTCATGTAGGTTCATTACTAAATTTAGTGAAAGAGTTAACCTTTGTTTTACACATGACGCTACATTCTGACTCGAAAATATAAAAAAGTTCGAACTGTTAAACACGGGGGAGAAAGTGAACAAGAAACACATTGGCAGCATAAGAACTCTGGGACATATTTTGAGTCATCACAAGAACTCCGAGACAATTGAAAAAACTGGTATAAATTTGTTAGTCGGGGCTTTATGATTGCAATTTTGTATTATCATTGTGTAATTATGTATGGCAAGGATGAAGACTTGAAATAAACAGGTCAATACTTGCGAAATGGCAAAAAAAAACTGAAATTTTACTCAAAACCATCAGATTTTAAGCAAGAGGCGATGAAAAATGGACTATGAATTAGTTATGACACATAATACAAAATGAAGAAGAAGAACTTTATTTGCACTAAAGCTCTAAAAAGAGCCATTGACAAAGCATCAATATATATACATACAAAAAATAGAAACATGGCAATACGTGACAAGAAGTCGAGATGGTATGTGTATTCACGGGAAATAATTCTTTGGTAAATGGGAAAATAGCTCTTACACTTTAAGCTGATTCACTGTGTCATATAAAACTGCTAAACTAAAGAGCTTCAGGGAACAATATTAAACGAAGAATGGTTTCACATGACATCTCGCTTGGGAGAGGCAGAATAATGTAAATATTACAATAAAACAAAACAATATTAATTTCTATATATATATAACAATAATATGGTTAACGAGGTTGGATGCTCCTAGATAATATGTTGATATCATTTAAGGATTTTGCTCTTTCTTGGAAAGGGGCGCTTTCCACAAATGATACATAGTGCTAAATATGATGCATTCACCAACACATAAATGCCCCATCGAAAAACGAAAACGAAAATATAGAGCACATGATGGTGATCTGTACACAACAACGGCATTATAAACAGATATATTTATTAGGAGTCCCCATCAACGGGACCATTTTTTAAAGGTATCTATGACTAGGTTATCATCAACGTACTAAATATTATGCATCCAACATAAAGCATTTTGTTTGACCAAAAAGATTAAAGTAGTCTTATAAAATGATATAGATATCTATATATATTTTATCGAGTCTCCGTTTTCATTTTAGAGGAGTTAACCCTTGACAGAAAGGGTAAATATCAAAAGCGGGTTATAATATTTATAATGTAAAGCAATTTATTTTTACAAAACATTTTGTCTTAGTAAGCATTGTAACACCGCAAAACGTCCGTACCGCAAAACGTTCGCGTGTGGACGTTTTGCGTCGCATATCGTACACATGTGGACGTTTTTGCGGTGCATATCGTACTTGGTACGTTTTGCGGCGAGAGTGTGTATTTGCGCCGCATATCGTCCACAATTTCTGTAGTAAAATATATTCACGAATACTTCAAGGACATTTATTCATCTTGAATTATATAATTCTATTAGAGGTATTGCATTGAAATTGAATAAATGTAGATTACGACTTAATGTAAGACAGTGCTTCTTTGATCGACGTACGTATTATTACCAGACGAAATTGTTGCAACAGCTTCAACATTTTTGGACAGACACTTGAATGAAGTTATGGGGTTTCCACGACTCGGTTGCCAAATCCTTAGGCCATAATAAGTAGGCAGTGATGGTTTGGCAACAGATATAACAAGTAAAATATAATTACTAAACTGCGTCCGCTTTGCCGCTCTATATTTCTTTCTTTCTTATACATGAAAATCTTTTCCATCAACGCCGTTTATCTTTTTTAAGATATTTCTTCTAACTTGCTGTATTAACATATTGTCACGTTGTATGGTCTCCCTGGTTATGCTAAATTACGATGAGGAAGATTTTCGGCGTGATAGAATCGTTTAAGGGTTAGATACCGTTTTATACGGTTCTGTGGGTTGAGTCCCGTTATGGTTTCCTACAGAACCGTGTATCCCCGTATCGGGTCAGTATCTAACCCTGTAACTTTTAAAATATTTTCTCAAAGATGAGATTGTTATTTTTGAACATCATCAATATGTGAAAAAATGACGATAGTGATTATTTCTGCTTGACAAAGCTCAAATATTTTGAACTACAAATCTAGTAAATGCAAGTTTGAAATTGTCATAAAATATAACTTTGAAAAATGATCTAATCTATAGGTTAGTCGGAAAGTCCGTCCCTTTACTAAAACCGTATTATTTTATCGCCTAAAGAAAAAACATTTCGCCTATAAGTTACATAGATAATATGTAATAGAGTATATTATAACAAACATTCTTCCGTATAGGAACTGATGAAAAAGAAGTTCAATGTGTTCTATTAATAAAAAATAAAGCATATTTTAAAATATCGTAATGTAAGCGTTTTGTTTGAATGCCATAATGTAATTTTATAATTGAACAATGTAATTTTATACACTTTTTTGTAATTGAACAAAGCAAAAAGGTCATGGTGGCCTTATATCACCCACCTGCCTATAAAGGCTCCACATGACAAGGGTAGATAGCATTGAATATTACAAATAAAAAGCAGAATCTGGTAACTGATATCAGTACTCAATTCTACGTCTGAAAATGGTCATCAATATCCAAATATCTGTAAATGACAAAGATATGGTAATTTAGGCAAAATTCAATAATGATCTTGAGGTCAAGGTCATTTCAAGGTCAATATTATAGTTGAACTATTCAAGATGTCCGTCCTGTCATAAATGTATGAATGACATCTGATCATTGATAAGAAAGAAATGGCAGTTTTATCACAATTCAATAATTTGACTTTAAAATATGTCTTTATTTTTATAATTCAAAGGCAAATTACTCTTGAGATATTCAGTCGTTGTAGCTCATAAATGAACTTGATCGAGACCTTATTGTTATACATATTCTGTATAAAAATACTTTAAAAATGGAGAAGAAAAGAAAGCACTAACAAGGTGATATATAGTGCGTTTTTTGTTGTTGTTTTATGTTAGATTTAGCCTATATTCTAACTTTGTCATAGATATTCTGTTGAAAATTGTCAAGATTAAAGAAGAAATGAAAGCGTTGGAGTGGTAACAATGTGAAATATAACAGATATTGTAATTCAAGGACAGATAACTCTTGACATATTGCTTAGGGTATGTGGATGCTAGAGTGGTTTCAAGCTAAATTTGGACTGACAGACAGACAGACAGGCGCATACTCAGGTGAGCTGAAATTAACACACAAAAACACCTGGTAATAACTGGTGAAAATTAACGAAAATTATATAAACTTTAAAATATGGACGTTATGCGGCAGGACCATGCCTTTTTGCCGCAAAATGTACGTCAGAAAAATGTGGACGATATGCGCCGCAAAACGTCCATATACGTACGTTTTGCGGTACGGACGTTTTGCGGTGTTACAAAGCATTAACATAGAATTATGCTATAGATATATCACATCACGACGTCACATAATCATGTTTCAAATGTTTTCAACAGTTAGATGACGTCACATAACGACGTCATTTGACAACGTCTCCTAGCAATACCAGAATGAGGACTGAAAGAGATCCATGATGGGCGCTGCAATTTGCCATTAGCTGAAATGTCCTCGCATAAGGTGAGAGTCATAAGAGTTGAGCCCTCAGATGGTACGGGATCTTTACCCCCAGTAAGGGCAGATACAAAGAAACTTTATGGAACAACAGATTATGTTGGCAAATAAAAGAAGTCAAATATTTACGTACAAGGGGCCAGAAAAGACCCGAAGTCGTTCTGTACCCGACAGAGGATTTAAAGAGGTTCAAGTTACGCATGCACGGGAACAGAGTTTACCTAGAGAATTTTTTCGCGATGATTTTTACGATTCAAGTGACGAAGAATTAGAAGAGGAGGAAGTCAAGTTAACAAATACACCAAAGCAGGAAGCAGAACAACTGGCAGTTGATATAAGTATGAGTTTAGAAGACAAAGAGGAAAATCATAGAGAATCAATGGATGTATCAGCCAATAAAGGGGTAGTTTGTACAGACACGAAAATGAAATACGAGGCGGGAAATAAGGTAAAGTTCGAGTTCCACCCTTGTGCTTAGCATAATACTTCAGTACTACTTATTACTAACTAAAAATGATTATAAATTAATCACAGGTGCAAATATCTTGACTTATACCTTTATTATATCTAATGTATATTATGTGTTTCACCGTGTATATCCAGTAACGCTGGAATGTGAAAATTACGCACGATTCGTGCAATAAGTAACGCAGAATTGTGCAAAAAATGGCCGATACCTGACAGGATTTCAAACGCGGTAAGTTAACTGGCCAACATATTTTTTTATTTAACCGAAACTGTAAAAAATGAATAGCTGCATACGGCTGCAAAGACATTACTCTTTATCCATCATCAAGATTATTTCCACGAAATTGTTTACTTTCGTGAAAATGATGAGTTGACTACATTCCGGCGGTACTGGATATACACGGTGTATTTGTTATTTGTTACATGTCTACGTCCTCGTAATGCCTCGTGAGGGTTTTGACAATAATGTGAGGGATATATCTATATTTTATTTTTTATACACATGAAACAAGCATGTTTTTGTACTTCACGGAAAATATTCAATAATCATGGCTTTCCCAATAAAATGGCCTATAAAGTGGTTTAAGTGAGTTGTATCTTTTTTGAGCTAAGATTGTAAGTCCAAGCTTACAGGTGCAATCCACAAATCTATATCAAATTTACAATATGTATGTAAAGATACAGAACAAAATGACATTAAGTGTATCTTATTTGTTAGTGTACCTGACAGTTCACGTTCTTGCTTAAGATTATTATTCCGAATAGTTTTGTTTGTCAATTATAATTGGTACTTAGATATTCCGGGTTGATTTCATTCTTTTCATGTGAAGGATTGGTAACATCGAAGAGCATTATTTGTTGAATTTGAATTGTACATTTTTGAAAACCTTTGAATGAAATTGATGTAAGCTGCACCACATTTGTAATACTATCACCCTCGGGATTCCTCTTCAATTGTAGGAAAATGAAGACCTTGATAAAAAAGATCAAGATGTAAAAGCAGAAAAGGATAACATTGCGAACGAATCTGACCAGGAAAATGACAAGAAAAAGAAGAAAAAGAAGATGAAGCTTTCAAGTTGTTTTGGTTTCATTTCAACTTGGATAGCCAAAAGGAAGGAGAAAAGACGTCAAAAGAAAAAGAAGGCTATAGCTAGCCGCGCCCCCACACCAACGCTATGTAAGAATTACACACACACACACACACACACACGCACGCACGCACGCACGCAAGCACGCACGCAAACACGCACAAACACACACACCTTGCTCGCATTTTGTGACAGTTAGAAAATATATGAATATATGTTTCCTGCTTGTAAGTATATTTTCGTCAAACTTTTATTTAAAGAGAAGAAACTGCGTACTGAGAAGACAAAACTTGTTTTATTTTATTTAACAAGATAATTCATTGGCAATACTCTTTCTATTTAAGTTCAATATGAGCATAGAAAATCCCGTGGCGGAGAGTCTTTTACCATTGAGGTAGACTGCAAACCGATAGTGATGAAGCCGATATTGCCGCCAATAAAGACAGCTGACGGGCCTGTAAGTATAAATCTTATATTTTGAATACAACATACTTTCTATGCTTCCGCCTGGAAATATATCTGATGTATGTTTGAAAATTGTATTTTTGAATATAACATACTTTCTATGCTTCCGCCTGGAAATATTTCTGATGTATATTTGAAAATTATATATGTATTAATAAGATATATCTATGTAACTGCGCTATTTGCTATTTAGTCAGTATATAAAAATGTCAAAATTTCCTTAATAAACGATTTGTTAATTTGTCCAGACTAAGGTTCATATAACATACGTACAAAATGTAATTAGAATAGTAAGTGTAAAAGCCATTTGAAATTTGCTCTTCAACATCAACTAAAAGATGATATATTAAATCTGCAACATAAAGTTATATTTAATCCAATGTATATATCCGGCAAACAAATGCTACAAATGAACTAAAGCCCATTAACGCTAGATAATTAACGAAAAAAAAAACGAGATTAGCCGAGTATTGACGAATATGTGTATTGATTAAAAACATCTATAAATTCACAAGACAAACAACGGCACTATATGGAACGTAAGGAATAGCCAATAGTCTAAGATTTGAAACTTTGGACTTTTATAATTTTTTTATATTGTTACTATAACTATATACAATTTAGACAAAATTTAGAAGTTTCAAAAGGAAAGTTTGAGTTTGCCTTTAATATTTTGTTACATTTTTAATAGATACGCCTAGCATGTGAGGCTCGGCAAGAGAAAGCCGAGGCCAAAAGAAATGAGGAGTTATCTAAAAAGAAAATACTGGCAAGAGAGCACCAGAGAAAAAAGTAAGCTCACTTATTTTGTGTAACAACCGTTTGATTACATATACACGTACGTTCAATAACAGAATTTACCTTCTTTAAAGGAATGTGTGTTTTCGTAGACCTGATGTTCAGACAATAATTACAAAGTTTTATATTTCGCATAATCATTATACATTTTAGATATGATCTCTATCATTAAAAAAGATATTATTTACATAACACATGTTTTTTAATAGCATCAATTCACTTCAGACAATAAATCATTACATAACACCAGGTATATATCATTTACATCACATCAATATATATTACTAATATCACACCAGACACTTTATTTTTGACATCACACCAGATACGATATCAATTACATCACACCAGATACTATATCATTTACATCACACCAGATACTATATCAATTACATCACACGAGATACTATATCATTTACATCACACGAGATACTATATCATTTACATCACTCCAAATACTATATCTTTACATCACACCAGATACTATATCATTTACATCCCACCAGATACAATATCATTTACATCACACCAGAAACTATATCATTTACATCACACCAGATACTATATCATTTACATCACACCAGATACTATATCATTATCATCACACCAGATACTTTATCAATTACATCACACCAGATACTATATCATTAACATCACACCAGATACTGTATCATTTACATCACACCAGATACTATATCATTAACATCACACCAGATACTATATCATTTATGTCACACCAGATACTATATCATTTACATCACCATAGATATTATATCAATTACATCACAACAGATACTATATCATTTACATCACACGAGATACTATATCAATTACATCACACCAGATACTTTATCATTTACATCCCACCAGATACTATATCAATTACATCACACCAGAAACTATATCATTTACATCACACCAGAAACTACATCAATTACATCACACCAGAAACTATATCATTAACATCATACCAGATACTGTATCATTTACATCACACCAGATACTATATCATTAACATCACACAAGATACTATATCAATTACATCACACCAGATACTGTATTATTTACATCCCACCAGATACTATATCATTTACATCACACCAGATACTATATCATTTACATCTCACCAGATACTATATCATTTATGTCTCACCAGATACTATATCATTTACATCACACGAGATACTATATCAATTACATCACACCAGTACTATATCATTTACATCACACCAGAAACTACATCAATTACATCACACCAGAAACTATATCATTAACATCACACCAGATACTGTATCATTTACATCACACCAGATACTATATCATTAACATCACACAAGATACTATATCAATTACATCACACCAGATACTGTATTATTTACATCCCACCAGATACTATATCATTTACATCACACCAGATACTATTTCATTTACATCTCACCAGATACTATATCATTTATGTCTCACCAGATACTATATCATTTACATCACACCAGAAACTATATCATTTACATCACAACAGATACTATATCATTTATGTCTCACCAGATACTATATCATTTACATCACACCAGAAACTATATCATTTACATCTCACCAGATACTATATCATTTATGTCTCACCAGATACTATATCATTTACATCACACCAGATACTATATCATTTAAATCTCACCAGATACTATATCATTTATGTCTCACCAGATACTTTATCATTTACATCTCACCAGATAATAAATCATTTACATCACACCAGATACTATATCATTGACATCACACGAGATACTATATCATTTACATCACACCAGATACTATATCATTGACATCGCACGAGATACTATATCATTTACATCACACCAGATACTATATCATTTACATCACACCAGAAACTATATCATTTACATCACATCATTATATGCAAAGAAACGTTTTAAAAAGACATTAAACCTAATACTGAATGAAAAGCGCGCCAAATAATAAAACAACGTGACGTCATTTCCGACGTCACGTCATTAAGTTGGTACCCAGTACTGTGCACGCTTGTATTTCACTGAAACAAGGTAAGGGGCTTAAATTCAAAACAGTGAAATTATCAAAGTGGTAATTTCACTGTTTCAAACAGTGAAATTACAAGTTTTATATCACTGATATATTTCTATAAACCACCGAAATACATGTAATAAACTATATCATTTACATCACACCAGATACTATATCATTTACATCACACGAGATACTATATCATTTACATCACACCAGATAATATATCATTTACATCTCATCAGATACTATATCATTTACATCACACCAGAAACTATATCATTTACATCACATCAGATAATATACCATTTACATCACATCAGATACTATATCAATTACATCACACAAGATACTATATCATTTACATCACATCAGATATTATATCATTTACATCACACCAGATACTATATCATTTACATCACACCAGATACTATATCATTTACATCACACCAGATACTATATCAATTACATCACACGAGATACTATATCATTTACATCACACGAGATACTATATCATTTACATCACACCAAATACTATACCATTGACATCCCACCAGAAACTATATCATTATCATCACACCAGATACTTTATCATTTATGTCACATCAGATACAATATCATTGACATCACACCAGATACTATATCATTTACATCACCACTGATATTATAGCAATTACATCACAACAGATACTATATCATTTACATCACATAAGAAACTATATCAATTACATCACACCAGATACTGTATCATTTACATCCCACCAGAAACTATATCATTAGATACTATATCATTTACATCACACCAGATACTATATCATTTACCTCTCACCAGATACTATATCATTTACATCACATCAGATACTATATCATTTACATCATACTATATCATTTACATCACACCAGATACTATATCATTTACATCACACCAGATACTATATCATTTACATAACACCAGATACTACAACATTTACATCACACCAGATACTATATCACTTTCATCGATCACGCTAGATAAAATATCATTGACATCAAACCGGATATATATCATTTACATCACACCGGATATATAATTTACACCTTACGAGTTACTATATCATTTACATCACAACACATATAATTTTATATATGCAATCTACATTATCAACGCATTATTAAACATTCATTTGTCACCCAATTTTCTTTGAATATTTTAGAAGATGCAAGCAGCGAAAAAAACGGAAGCCGAAACACCAGTTTTCAGGAAAGGAGTCCGACTAACTATTCACCATAGACAGGCCAGACGCTGAACGAAATTAGGAAGCCGCATTGTCGCTCCCAAAGAGGCCGATTTAGCCCGTTCAACCCGAGAAAGAAGCTCACTTGGCTGTTTCTTCCTCCTCAGAGTCTGGGTCCGCCTGAGGGCAATTCCCCTCAAGGTCGGCAGCTATTCCTAATTACTATTCCGGCCGAACCCTCCTTTCAATAGTAGGCCACATACATTTTGCTATTGTCACGTGATAGGACATTTTCTTTACATAAACTACAAAAGCAACTTAATCCCTTTTCCCTCACTCATTTTTAATTTAATAATGTAAGATTTATTTTTTTTTTCATTTTATTATCAGATGATCATCTTTTCTCGCCGTTTTCAGCCTTTACTTTTGTGATCCTTCTATACCAATTTCAAGAATACTGTGTGTAACATATGTCCATGACAATTTATTCAGACAAGCATTTATTTTCAGTTTGTCTTTACTTTCTTTATTTTTAAACTCCTGCTTTTGGAAAACAAGCTAATATTATTTCGCTCTTAGTCATGTTAAATTTTCAATTGACCAAATTCTGTGAAATTTCAACACACTAGTTATATTTTAGCACTATTTTCAGAAGCAATACAATGTCGAAATATTATTTTATCTAAATGATTAACTTTATAAAGTTTACATTCATCTTCCTTAAATAAAAATAACATCTTTGTTTTAAAATCTTTTTGACAACCTGACAATGATGAATATCATCTGCCTTGAACAAAAAAAAACAACATAAAACCACGAAAAACAAGTATCAAATCTACATTTTGACCTTGATTTATCAAAGTCAAGTATGATGATACCAAAAATATCTCATCTCATTTTATCATCCAATCATCCATATATTCATCTAAAATTTCCAAGAAACAAAGCAATGGTCTTTTACTTACATTTTAAGAAAACTCTACACCTTTAAAAATGCATTTCTTATCATACCCTACGTGTAAATTTCAATCACTGATTTGTTATATTTTCTAAGTTCTTTTATTTTTATTTTTAGAATCTGGTTAGTAAGAAAGCGCACCTAAGTATATTTTGGACATCCTCATCTTCACAACAAAAAAATTTCCGGCTTACACCATACATACTATCTTACTGTTTTTTTTTTAACAATAAAGTTTAAATTTACATTCATAAATATGGTAACAACCTGACCGTGATGAATATCATCTGCCTTGAACAAAAAAATACATAAAAGCACGAAAAACGAGTATCAAATCTATAATAATAAGTATGATGATACTTATCAAAAAAATCTCATCTTATTTTATCATCCAATCATCCATGTATTCATCTAAAAACTCCAAGAAACAAGGCAATGGTCTTTTACTTACAGTTTAAGAAAACTCTAAATCTTTAAAGATACATTTCTTATCATACCCTACGTCAGGCTACATGTACATTACAAGCACTGGTTTGTTATATTTCCAAATTTTCATTCATTTTTCTTTTTCAAAATATGGTTAGTCTGACAGCCCACACATCATTGTGCATATTTTGGACATTATCATCTTAGCAACACGGAAATATTTATTTATAAACACTATACTTACTATCTTAACTGTTTTTTATACAAATAGTTTTGCACATTTTTGATAATTCATCATAATTATGTTACAGAAAATCTTTTTTTTTTCATTCAAATAACAGTTAAAAAACCAATATGGCTATAAATATCATTGATATCCAAGTTTAATATATAAATTATTTAAATGACTATTCACGTGACATGGCTCCGATATTTCAAGGCATAAAGACCCTTTGGCCTGCTGTTATAGGGATGTTGTCGGCTTTGGTGTTTTTAGGCATTTTGGCATTTTGTTTTCAAATTTACACAATCTATCTTCCTGTTAACATTGCACCATTAATAATAAGGTTTAAAATAGGTATATTAATAAAACAAATACATCTACAGTTTATTTTACATATTTTCCTAATACATGTATATATAAATAAAAAAACAATTTTGGATCACAAAGCATACTGATCTTGTTGTTGTTGTTTTTCTACCATTTTACAAATCATCGTAACGAATAATAGAGACATCTAAGATCAAAGAAGCTTTGTCAATATTGTAAACGTATGCCAGGTGTGACGATATTATTGGATTTTTGACATTTACCAATTTACTTGTTCTAAAGGCATATTATTAGAACGGAAAATTATTTACTTCTTTAGAAAGGTCAAATATGAATTTTATAATATTTAAATAAGGGTTTTAGAGCATGTAAGATGCTTGAAACCGACAAAATCGAGATAAATGTGAAATAATGTGAATGTCGTAAACCAATCGAATTGTGAACAAAGAAGTTTTCTGACTGCCTAAAAAACTACTAAATCACTATTACTATTACAGACGTTTACAAAACTAACTGGACTAATGACCATAAAAAGGCCACCAGTACAGAGCCAGGTCACACCCATACAGAGTGACCATTTGCTCACTTAGTTCAAGTCCAAGTTCACAGCTGAGCAAATCCATTTCATAAATTTACCAGGTAAAAGGTCACATAGACTAAAGATAGGTTAAACATATTTTGGTGTCTTAACTCAATGTACATGTCGTATATGGAAGATGCCATCTATCCATGCCATGAGAGTCTGTCTAAAAGTGGACTTCTTCATGTCAAATAATTAATAAAGAGTGAGAACAATGAAAAATTCTATAATTAAACAAAGCCCATTATCAATTGAATTTTACCATCTCAATAGATATTGAGAAATTGCTACCCCGTTGTTTCTTTGAGTAAGAAATTTTTCTTGCATTGCTTCTTACTCATGTTATGCGCTAAATTTAGAGTTCTACTGAAGGTGGATTGAATCTCCACACAATGTTCCGTTTTATTTTTTAATTATTTTAATGTTTCTTTCTTAGTGGAAAACCACAGATAATATATAACATATACACAGGTTATCCTGATGTTAACAAATTGATATTAAAAACAGTAACAATTATTTCTAGTGGAAAGCCACAATACAATGTTATCACTTGGAAATCCAAAATCTAACTGACCCTAAATTTTCTACATGTATCTTTACAATAATTCTAAAATTGATTTCGTTTTAGCTGACCAATAGAATTTTAACATTTTTGTGTCTTAAATAACAAAATGACCAATCAGGTTTCAATACAAAATAAGGTAACATAGCAACATAGAATTTATAACACAATCATCACCTGTATATTTTATCAGTCATAAGGCTTAACAACATGATAAGTACAGACAGCTTAATTGACCTTATCACCTATATATTATAAAACTTTTAGCACAGTTGATTGGACAAAGAGGAAAAGCCGCATTTTAATATTCCAGTTACATAATTTTAAATTTGACATCTGTTATTGAAACATATAATATTTGTAACTTAACATATTTGAAATTTCACAAATTTTGTTTTGAAAATATGACCTATTAGAAAATGATTATATCTATAAATATTTGTGTTTAAAAGAAAATCATCATGCATATTTATTTATTTATTTTTTTTTTTTTTGTAAATGAATTTTATTTTTTTTTCGACTGCACAACACTCACTTCAACAAAGACTTTCGAAGCTTTTAGCTCTGTGGTTTCAGAGACGGAATCGAGACTGTGTCTTTTTTCTATGCAATCAAACTAAAATAAATTCTGTATTAAATGAGTTTAAGTTAACTCCACAAAACACATAACATACAAAAGTGCTGATACTCGCCAATTAATGGAGTTAAACCTGTTCAGTACCATATATGAAAAAATCACATTTTCCGGCCTTACCGCGAAGCACTATTCACGTACATCGGCGTTACCTCATAAAACGACTTGCATCCCATTTCATCAGCTTATTTTCAATTTTTTTACATCACCAGAAGTTTAGTAAATGTCACTTGCCTACCTAAAATCGAAATTATACGGTATTATTGCACGAATCGTGCGTTATTTTCACGATATACGCGGTGATCGTACAGCGTACATCACACAAAACAATATCTACATCTAAAATTGCTAATTGTGTTAACATGTTTAAATCGGATTAAAATCAGTTAACATTAGGATCTGAAGACCACCGATAGGGTCACCTTTTCGTGACCTTTCAAATAGACAACCATCGGCAAGCTTTCACAATTTTATGCGGTTTCTAATTTTAACTGAGTAGTTACATTTTCGAGGTTGTCTATATAGCCAGCAGGTAGACAGGTAAAACAATCTTACCAAAATAAACATTTTTTTTCCCAAACAACAATCAACAATTTGTTTTATTTCCATGGACAATGATATTTTGATACTTCGTCTAATGTCTATCTGTAAAGGACTGTTTGATTGCATGGCTCGGGAAATCCGAATCACAATGAAGCTACTATATATACGGTGGCACTCAGATCTACATAAGTAGATCTGAACTTTAGTCAGATTGTGGCATGTCTTAGCACGATACGTGTTTTGCTATCAAAAATCAATGTGTATGTAGTTGTTGTTTGAGAAAATTAGTCAATAATTATTAACATAATTAATTTTAGGTATATTGTGAAAGATATCATATGACAGCTCCCGATATTGCAAAAGTCTGCATAGGCTTTTAAATGACTGCTGTTTATTTTGCAAATAACAGAAGGAACCTGTTGGATGGAACAGGATGCGCTGCGCATGCGCTCGCTCACGTGCGTACGCAAACGTTTCTCATGCGCTTCCTGCATGCCCGTTTTATATGTTATAAACACGCTGTTCATACGCTATTTAAACGTTATCTGTAAGGACTGACATCGAATCCTCCTATACTTCCCTTCGCGGTGTGTACGTCGCTCGGAGGGCATAGGTCTCACAAGATGGGCGACCTAGTTAGGTCACTTAGCTGGTGTGACCTAACCAACGACGAAGTGTGTGACAAAGAGAGGCTGCTCCCGGAAGACGTGCCTTTCCTCCTATTGTCTACTAGAAGCGAAGAACTGGGTCCTAGAGAGGATCTACGACGAAAGACGGCATGGGAAGTTCTCCGCTGTAGATCTACGATCAGCGACGTTGCAGGCAAACTAAGTCCTCCGTTGCAGGCATGGCAAAGCCGGGGCCCAGTATAAATAAAACTAAAAACACACACACACTGTCATCGATAGCTCGGGTTTTTAAGTACGCTCGAAACCTATGCGTTTAATTAATTTGTCTACAGTTTTCAAACGCAATATATACGTTTCTATCAAACCCTAGAATATGCAATTATATAGGGACACTAAATGTAGAAATGGGAGGTAATTAGCAAGAATACTTCTCTGAAAGGGAGGTAATTATTTCTGTGCTATTAACACGGTACACTTGAAACGTGATGTACAATACCAAAAAAATGATGAGTTTATGAACCCCCGAATTATCCCCCGCTAAAATAATAATAATAAAATAATAATAATAAAATTAAAAAAAAATATATTTATAAAATAAGGTAACAACAAACAAACAAAATCAACAACAAAGAAAAAAAACCCATCAAAAATCAAGTCAAGCCATGAACAACAAACCAAAAAATGTAAAGATCTCAGCATGAAGTGTCAAGAGCCGCAAGAATAAGTTGTTTTGCCTAAATGTGATATGATTTGATTATCTTATCTCGTTCAGTTAACACGTGCAGCAAGGTAAATTACTGATGTATTACTCTAAACTGGTAAACATTTACGCGAGATATCTGAATGACTGTCGATAAATATGTTTTTATTTACCGATATACATGTAAACATAACGTGGGACGATTTAAGTCCACAGATCAATTCCAATCGATTTATTTCATACTAACAAAATGCCATTATATTGATATATCAATCAGTAATCTATAAATAGACCACCACATTTGTATAGTATAGTATATCTGAGTCAGTAGGTTCTTAACACAGTGATCTAGTTTTCTTGAGTGCGAAAATTCCTAAACTTGCATAGGAAATTCCGGTGCGGTTAAATAATAACTACATATAAATAGCCGTGCTGTTAAAGGATGGTTAAGAATCGATAATTCTGTCATTGAGGAATTATTTCACCTCGACATTCACGGATCTATTTGACATTGTCTGGCATCATTCCAAGGGCATTTATTTATTTTCCAAGTAAGTTCAGGTAGCTTTTGTTGTTATTTGTACTAATACGGTACAAACTTCAAAGAAGTAATATATTTATATACATTGCGTAACATAGTTTTACCACTGCTTCAATCGATACAAACTTTAACACATTTTAAGTACAGGAAATACATTTTAAGTACAGGAAATTATATGCAATTTTTAAATTTGTACAACTGTTGAAATAGGATCGACATCGGATATAAGGAGTATTTCAATAAACAATACAAATATATTGTGGACGGTTTAAACAGGTACGTGGAATAATAATACTTCTTAACATAGATATCTATGTGTACTAAAAATTTTGTGAACTTATCACGTACACACGTGCTTTAATCCGTTGTTTTGAGAAGAAGACGAATATATTAAATATCAAAGATATTTAATTACGTGTTATATCCATCAATATTCTAATGTATGTATAAGCACATTTTCATTAGTGCCACCGTCCTATATATTAATATTTAATTGTACAAACCCAAGATTTACCATTCTGATATTAAGTGTTTAATAACGGATAATAATAAAGTATGAGTTTTTGGAGACTGATATTGCCTAAAGCACGACCGGGTCTGTTACATTTATTATATACTTTTATACATTATAATTATTATCATGTCACTGATTATTAACAATATTTGGCTACTGCTGGTCAAACGTATTTGAAAATCATTTCTGGTGTTAATGCATATTCCATTGAGATTATGGCATTTTACTAGTTTCCCCTCAAAAGGGATCGGTGGGATGGGATAGTCATGAGTTACTTTTACATAAAAAATTCGTTAATGGATATCGAAACCTTTGATGTTATATGATATCTATGCATAATCCATCAAATCTCAGGTCTAAATACCGGGGATTTGATCCCCTTACACCCCAAGGACTTGTAGCAAGTTTATTAATTGTACAAAATGAAACATGGCGAAAACTATAGTTTATTTATATTCAAGATTTATGATTATATGCTTCACAATAAAAGTATGAAAATATTGAAAAACGAATACACCTATACAAATGTTAATACAGGAACGCCCTACTTGTCTGTACTAGTGAGGTTAAATTCTTTTCTATGAACAATGAACAAAAACTTGAAAGATACATACTAAACTTGTGTTTACATTTTGTTAATTATGTTGTAACGTTAGCTAGACAGAAGACAAGATGATTAAGATTTAGACATTCGCAATTTGAAGAGAAAGAAATATAAGTGTTGAACCTCATAATACGCGAGAGAAATTGTATGTCTCTGTTGTTTTTTGTTTACAAAAAATAACCAGTGTATCTCAGTAAAGATGTTATTTCCTCTCATCGTTACATGATTTTTTTTATGCCTATCAAGCACCACACATATAATATAGCTCAACTGCAGTGGTAAGCATATGGAAATTCGGTCAACTCCGTTGGTTTCCGTTTGTGCTTGATGGCTGACGTCACGCGAGTTGCGTCTAATCTCGTCGTATTAAATGTACGGAAGTTGGCTTTAAAATGCCGTAAATAGACCCACAACCGTTTACATACTTTGCAAAATATAAAATCGCTTTTGTAAATTGCAATTAATTTGAATACACCTTATTTGTTGCCGTTTATAACTTTGTTTTCGTAGCATCTCATATTATAAAAGTGTACAGTATATTAATCTATTTACAAAAGCAAAAAGATTGCACTTAAAATAACGTGCCTTTAACATACAAGTTTATATATGCATTTTGCAACACGACCGCAAAAATGTCCCTGTGGTAAAGTTTACATGTTAAAGCAGCTTAAATTTAAACTTTAAATGTTAACAATATGTCATCAAATATTTGTACAGGTAATACATGAGGATACAGTAAATTTTAAAGTTCAAATTTGAGTACTTCCTCTCATATGACTGAACGGAGAAGGGATCCAGTAATACAAAAACGACAAATTATATAGCTCAATAAATTTATAGGGTTAAGGCAGGTTTTTCGTGCATTATCATCTGTTTGTTTGTTTGGGTTTTACGTCACATCGACACAGTATAGGTCATATCACGACGTTCCAGCTTTACTGGTGGAGGAAGACCTCAGGTGCCCTTCCGTGCATTATTTCAGGCACGAACGGGCACCTGACTAGAACCACCGACGTTTCGTAAGCTAGCTGGATAGCTTCCTCACATGAAATAATCCAAAGTCCCTGTCGGGATTCGAACCAACAGCGGTGAGCGGCAAGTGGTATGAAGTCAACGACCTTAACCACTCGGCCACGGCATTATCATCTGTACAAGCACAAGAACGCAGCCCGAGTGTGTAGGGCGAAAGAGTTAATATATGTCTGAGAGCTTATGCAAATGTTAATGCAAGAAAAAAATTGCACTTTAGTGCACGTGATTTTAATCATTAATTAAATTGTATATGTATGTACATGTATGTTTGCGATGCAAGAATGATACTTGAACAACATTAGTGAGTTTTTGTATTTTTTTGTTGATTACGTTTGAAAAATTAATGAAGTAAAGGACGTTTTTTTCCCAATAATTTGCATTTTTTTTAATCAAACAGGTGCATATTCGAGGTTCGAACTCTACCAGCGAGGCTCATTGGAAGGAATCATGGAGTTCATGGAGCCAGAAGAAGAGGCGAAACTGATTGCCGAATTTAATCAAAGGTTTCCGTACAAGGTACAGCTAAACATTAAAATTTGTAACTTGAACCAAAGTTTCTGAACAAGATTTACTTGAAAAAAAAAGGTATTTAGTTTAATAAAAAAGTAAGAGAAAACAAGAGCATGAACATTGACAATAATTTAATTCTTTATCGGAGTGATAGATGAATGTTTATGATATATACTGATAAGCGTGTACAGTAAATACTGACCGAGGAGCGTGCATGGTAAACACTGCCAGATAAGCGTGCATGCATGGTAAATACTGACATTGACAGATTGGCTTAAGCCTTACATGATAAATACTGACTTGTTAGCGTTACCGTATATGGTAAAACCGACAGATAAGCGTGCATTACACGTACTGACCTCTAAATACTGTCAGATAAGCATACATTATAAGCGAGTACTGTAAATACAAACAAAAATGTACATGTACTGACAAAATGAAAAGCATGCATTATAAATACTGGCAGGTTAGCGAATACTGTAAATACTTACAGATAAGCGTGCATGATGAATACTAGCAGAAAAGATTACATGATGAATACTAATCGATTTACGAGCATGGTTTATACTGGCAGACTAGTGTGCACAGTAAAATACTAAAAGATAAGCTTGTTCAATAAATACTGATAGATAACCTTGCATGGTTAATACTGACAGGTAAATACTGACAGATTAGCATGCATGGTAAATATTGACAGTATCGCGTGCACAATGAATTTAAAAAAAAAACAGTCGACGTTTTATATTCTCACACTAATGCATGTTTCGTGTGTAGGAATTCAGGAAGGAAATAACATGAGGTAATAAACGGATTGTATTCTCAGAGTTATTACAAATAAACAACAAAATAAAATTAATGATTTGTCTACTAGATCATCTCTTTATCTGTTTATACATGATCAGGAATGGTAAAAAACAGTATTCTTGAAATCTGTCAAAAGCAGGTTTTTAAGAAAGAGTAACGTTTTCTTGGTTGAGTATATTACCGAAACTAACGGTCTTGTTGTTTTCTTTTTGTGTTTTCTTAATTATTATGCAAAGCTCGAGTTCAATCAAATAAAGAAAAAATGTAATTGGTTAAATTGAAAGTCACTCAAATCTTGCACGATTTTCTTTGTTGTTCAAGGAAGACATCTTGTGGGCATTATTTTAGGTGCGAGAGTGACAACTGAATAAAACCACCGACTTTTGGTTTCAATTATTAACATATTTAAATGATTTTTAAGAAAATAAGCAAGTCTTTTGCCACAAATTGTTATGGTTCCCTGCAAATTATAAGGAAGTCATACTTGACTGTACTTAATAAAAAAAAACGGTGCACATTTTTTTGAAATTCATTCAAATGAATTGTTGATATTTGGATATTTACAGGTAGAATTACACGTGCATCTCGACGGCGCCGTGCGACCGGAAACAGTTATAGATATTGCTAAGTAAGTAACAAACATCCCTATACTATAATTCCTGTTTTTCTAAGTGGGTTTTTTTTTCAAAAAAGGGAGCCACATTCGCTTTATTAGATAGCGTTAAGACAACGGTCAGAAACACAGACATTTGGCCCGTCGGGGAGGGGGGGGGAGGGGTTGTCACACCCTAGCCCCTAGGTTCTGCAATGGTTTGTTTAGGTTAGAAGCTTGATCCCATGCTGATAACCTGTGATATTGGTGTGGTGCAATGGTAACATGTAAACTCTGACTAAGCAGTTGTATCCAAATGAGTCATAACCAGCCCTTATTTTCAAGTATTTTTTTATACTCCCACAAACGAAGTTTAGGGGCGGGGGGAGGGGCGGTTATAAAGGAGTCAGCTGGTCGGTCGGTCAGTCCGTCGGTCAGTCGGTCCACATCATGATTTTCGGATGATAACTAGAGTTTGGAATGAGGTATTTTAATCAGACTTGTTATATAGCAACATTAATTATGTGGAACCATTACTAAAAATAGAAAAATGGTTTCCGGACAATAACTAGAGTTAGGAATGAGATATTGTAATCAAACTTGCTGTATAGCAAGCTTATATAAAGACTCCTGTTGGTATTTAATTTGGGCCCACTGGGGTCAAGGTCACCATTACTAAAAATAAAAAAATGGTTTCTGGACAATAACTAGAGTTAGGTATGAGATATTATAATAAAACTTGCTGTATAGCAAGCTGATATGAAGACCCCAGTTGGTATTGCATTTGGACCCCCTGGGGTCAAGGTAAAGGTCACCATTACTAAAAATAGAAAAATGGGTTCCAGACAATAACTACAGTAAGGAACCAAGCTTTGTGTATAGCAAGCTTATATGAAGTTCCTCTGGGGTCACGGTCAAAATTACTAAAAATAGGAAAATGGTTTCCCGAAAATTACTAGAGTTAGGAATGACATATAATGTAATCAAACTTCCTGTATAGCAAGCTGATATGAAGACCCTCAGGTTGGTATTGCAATTAATTGAAATAATTCTTTGTACACAGTTGATTCTTCATTTATTCTAGGTCGAGTTCAATTTTTTCTTCAGACCACTTTTTTTTCAAAAAGACAAAGTTGCTGGTGGGGGTATTAATCTAGTTTAAAGTTTGCTTTGACACTTTACCTCATAAACAAATAGTAACCATAAATAAATGTTTGCACAATTTGACATCAACATTTTTTGGGAGGAAAAAAAGTCTTGCTTTGAAGTCCTTTAATAACCAAGTACATCCTCCATTTTATTGCACTATAAATCTGTACAAATTGTACATTGTGTAATAATGATCACTGATAAGCTGCCTGTTGTTGCTGGTATTTGAACAAGTGGCCGCTAAAAGATAACATTCTTATGTTTTACACAAAGGTACCCTTACTTTTGAAACACCTCGCCCATTATACACACTCCTTATCCGGACATTGACGGGAAAGGCTGAAAAATGGTGATTGATACCCTTAGTGTTTATCACAGCCTATTTATATTTTAAGTCCAAGAATTGACTATATATTATATAATTGACAAGATATTGAGCTCATTTGTCTAGAATATTTTATGTAATCATTTAGGTACCCCACACTGCTTCCATCAATATAATATTATACATCATTGCCTGTGAATACATTAGTCTGTTTTTGTCAGAGAATAGAAAAATGTATATTAGAAAATCATGCAGATCAAAATGATCAGCCATTATCTCCCATAAATTTGAAAGAATGCACTGAATGATCTCCCTTGTAAAAGAGAAATAATAATATAATCATAGTTTAGTTGAAATAAATATATTCCAGAACGATATGCATACGTACATTATACATGTATATAATCATAAAGAATGCGATCAGAAGGAAAGCTGTGTAAAAACTTTTACAGATCGACTATACAATCAATAATTTGTATCAAGAGATTTAAGGTTATATCATTCCTATCAGAGGCCCTGGTATGGCTTAATTTCCCCTAAATATGGAAAAGGCATAATGTCCCTTGTCAGTATATACATGCATTATATTATAATTAATGAGAATGGCATAATAGAATAATGGAGCAAATGTGAACATAGAATTATCTCCCTTTAATAAATATGAGTTTCATCACGGATTTATATTGTAATATAAATCCGTGGTTTCATATATCTACATGGAAAGGTAGCTAGGTATTATGCCGGCTCGCCACGGCGAGCCGGTATTACGGTAGGATTTTACTGAGAAACAACCTAAAACTCCGAAGCTATCCAAAAATTAATCGAAGCTTGGCTTCCAGCTTTCTACAAAATTTATCTATCAGGGCTAGGATCACAAATTATTTAGCCAATCAAAATTAATCTTACATAGCGTCAAAAAACCTTCATTTTCACGCCATTTTTAAAAATTAGCAAGTAATTGTTGAGCGCAAAGATATAATGATGATTAGAAATGTTTGTCTTTATGAATTCTTTTCAAATAAATCATATTTACACTGACACTTTTGATTTAGCGATTTCACCTGTTTTCTCTGTAGTAAGTTTTCGTTTGGTTAATTAACATAAGTATACATCTGGTTTCTGTGCATTTTTTATTTTTCCTTTTTTTCCGGTCATTTTATCCTTTCCGGTATTTAGTGTATGTATTTACTGGCCGGGATCCGGGACGCCCGGGATCCGGGATCGTATAAGATATGGAGGAAAAACCTAATGAACTATATTGTGTTTGATTGTTGTCAGTAATGGGAAGGCCATTAAAACGTTAATTTTTTTATTGTATAATAATGAACGTTAAAATTAATTTAACTTAAAATATAAGACATATTTAGAGCTATTTATTAACAAACTTAAGATGCGGAAATCACAATACTTATTAATTATATGCCTAATTAATTGGAAAAAAAATCAAAGACTATTTTCTTGAATTGGTCAAATCCCGGGATCCCTATATGTTTAAAAACGATCCCAGCTTTTTCTGAAACTATATACTTGACACTGGCCAATCCGTGAGATCTATTTACATTTTAATACGATCCCGGCTTATTCTGAAAAACATCTTCTTAGACTGGTCAATTTCCGGCGATCCCTATATTTTTTAATAGGATCCCGGCTGGTTTCTGGCTGAAATTGATTGGGACAACTTGTGTTTACTTTAGGACTTGTGCCTCTCATTCCAATACTAAATAACATACATGTATTACAACTTAATTTTGTATAAAGAGACATCTTTATGAAAATCTACCTATCTAACATTTTTGTGGCCAAGGTCAACAGGCCATATAGGTAAATGTGCATAGAACATAGGTTCTTCATTCAATCAGCGTTTACATGCACCTTCATATATACTCATACTCATCTTGGTTAAACTGCGAGAACTTTATATGTCACTTTCAGTCAATGATGGTTTGAAGAATTTTGAATTTACTGGCCCCGAATTCCAGTTTTGAATTTATTCTACTAAATAATTAACAAAACTTTCTTAAATTTACACTGGCCTGAACTTATATACACTGGCCATTCGGGCACCGGGCCAGTTTTGACTTCACTTTATTTTGATGTTTGCTGAAATCTCTTCAGCTAACAGAACTGTTCATTTTTACATTTAAACACACCACTGTGATTAGGGCGATTTACCACAACTTTTCCGCGCAATGTCGAAATATCTTACTTCTGTCCGAGACACCGTAATTTCTGTGGTACCAAAATGGACAGCAAGCCTGTAACCGAGACGAAAACAGCATATAATTTGCTCAAGACAAGGTAAAATCGTCATTTTTTTCTTTTTCATCGGAATGTGCTATTTAATTTGAAACTTATTTATCTTTACTAACATGCAAAATGCTTTATTAATTAAGTCAAGGATAGTGAAAAACATTTAGGGCATACTGAAAAAAGTCTTTGCTTTGATTAACGAAATAATAAACGTATTTTCTAGTCCGTTCAGTTTCATACATAACTGGTCAAAAATACAATACAATGTACATAATTGTCGTATGAACAAGTTACAATACATAAAATAACCCCGTTTTTTGTAAATATTTGGTAAAATGATTTTAAAATGTTTCCCAAAGTGTAAAAAAAAAAAATTTAAGGCACCGCACAACTTTGTCAATCATAAGATTAGGGCACCGCATTATTCCTCCTTAAAATCACCGCATTTTTTGTCTTTTTAGCACCGTTGATTTTTAGCTCACCTGTCACAAAGTGACAGGGTGAGCTTTTGTGATCGCTTTTCGTCCGGCGTCCGTCCGTCCGTCGTCTGTCCGTCCGTCCGTCCGTAAACTTTTACTTTAAATGACATCTCCTCATAAACCACTAAGCCAATTTCATCCAAACTTCACAGGAATGTTCCTTTGGTGGTCACCTTTAAAAATTGTTCAAAGAATTTAATTCCATGCAAAACTCTGGTTGCCATGGCAACCGAAAGAAAAAACTTTAAATATCTTCTTTTAAAAAACCATAAGAGCTAGAGCTTAGATATTTAGCATGAAACATCTTCTAGTGAGTGTCTACCAAGTTTGTTCAAAATAAAAGCCCTGGGGTCAAAATTGGCCCCGCCCCCGGGGGGTCATTGATTTTCCCTATATGCATATAGTAAAAACTTAAAAAAATCTTTCTTTTAAAGAAACCCAAAAGCTAGAGCTAAGATATTTAGCATGAAAACATGTTCTAATGGGTGTCTACCAAGTTTGTTCAAATAAAAGCCTGGGGTGAAAATTGGCCCCGCCCCGGGGGTCATTGATTTTCCCTATATGCATATAGTAAAAACTTAAAAAAATCTTCTTTTAAAGAACTCAAAGAGCTAGAGCTTAGATATTTGGCATGAAACATCTTCTAGTGAGTGTCTTACCAAGTTTGTTCAAATAAAAGCCCTGGGGTCAAAATTGGCCCGCCCCGGGGGGTCATTGATTTTCCCTATATGCATATAGTAAAAACTTAAAAAAAATCTTCTTTTAAAGAACTCAAAGAGCTATGGCTAAGATATTTAGCATGAAACATGTTCTAATGGGTGTCTACCAAGTTT